GTGTGTCAAGTAAGGTTTCCGGGACGCATGCGGACGGTCCCACTGGGAGCTTCGGCGGAGCTCCCTATGGGGCCACGAAACGCTGTACTGGGTAGGAACAAAAAATGCCGATTTTGGTTTCCGGGTCGCATGCGGACGGTCCCACTGGGAGCTTCGGTGGAGCTCCCTATGGGGCCACGAAACGCTGTACTGGGTAGGCGAAAGTGCCAAATTGGGCTTCCGTGACTCATGCGGACGGTCCCACTGGGAGCTTCGGTGGAGCTCACTAAGGGGCCACGAAACGCTGCAATGGGTGGGTAAGTATCCCAGTGCGACCCTACCTGGGAGTTGGAGGATCTAGGAAAGCAACATCTATATGAAGCTAAGTTAAGCTAAGATGAAGCTAAGATGAGATAAGCAACGCTAAGCTAAGGGGACGTGACTGGGGGAACCGCGGGGCGGATATCACTAAGGGGCCACGAAACGCTGTAATGGGTGGGTAAAAATGCCACGTTGGGTTATCGGGACGCATGCGGACGGTGGCACTGGGGCCTTCGGTGGAGTTCCCTACGGGGCCACGAAATTCTGGACTGGGTGAATGAAAATGCCACAACGGGTGGTTCGGGAAGCTTGCGGACGGTCCCACTGGGGCCTTCGGTGGAGCTCCCTGTGGGGCCACGAAACGCTGCACTGGGTGGGTGGAAATACCAAATTGGGTGTGCGGGACGCATGCGGACGGTGGCACTGGGGCCTTCGGTGGAGCTCCCTGTGGGGCCACGAAACGCTGTAATGGGTGGGTGGAAATGCCAAATTGGGTCTTTCAGGACGCACTCGGACGGCCTCACTGGGGGCTTCGGTGGAGCTCCTTATGTGGCCACGAAACGCTGTACTGAGTGGGGGGGACGCATGTGGACGGTAGCACTGTGACCTTCGGTGGGGCTCCCTATGGGGCCACGAAACGCTGTACTGAGTGGGGGGGGGGGGCATGTGGACGGTGGCACTGGTCGGTGGAGCTCCCTATGGGGCCACGAAACGCTGTACTGAGTGGGGGGGACGCACGGTGGCACTGGGGCCTTCGGTGGAGCTCCCTGGGGCCACGAAACGCTGTACTGAGTGGGGGGGACGCATGTGGACGGTGGCACTGGGGCCTTCGGTGGAGCTCCCTATGGGGCCACGGGGCCACGAAGCGCTGTACTGAGTGGGGGGGACGCATGTGGACGGTGGCACTGGGGCCTTCGGTGGAGCTCCCTATGGGGCCACGAAGCGCTGTACTGAGTGGGGGGACGCATGTGGACGGTGGCACTGGGGCCTTCGGAGCTCCCTATGGGGCCACGCTGAGTGGGGGGGACGCATGTGGACGGTGGCACTGGGGCCTTCGGTGGAGCTCCCTATGGGGCCACGAAACGCTGTACTGAGTGGGGGGGGCGCATGTGGACGGTGGCACTGGGGCCTTCGGTGGAGCTCCCTATGGGGCCACGAAACGCTGTACTGAGTGGGGGGGACGCATGTGGACGGTTGCACCGGGGCCTTCGGTGGAGCTTCTTATGATACTTAGGGGGCCACGAAGCGCTGTACTGAGTGGGGGGGACGCATGTGGACGGTGGCACTGGGGCCTTTGGTGGAGCTCCCCATGGGGCCACGAAACGCTGTACTGAGTGGGGGGGGGCGCATGTGGACAGTGGCACTGGGGCCTTTGGTGGAGCTCCCCATGGGGCCACGAAACACTGTACTGAGTGGGGGGGACGCATGTGGACGGTGGCACTGGGGCCTTCGGTTGAGCTCCCTATGGGGCCACGAAACTTTGTACTGAGTGGGGGGAACGCATGTGGACGGTGTGCACTGGGGCCTTCGGTGGAGCTCCCTATGGGGCTACGAAACGCTGTACTGGGTGGGTAAAACGCAGGGAAGAGGGGGAGGGGGGAGGAGGGGAGGAGGGAGGTGGAGGAGAGGAGGAGAGGAGGAGAGCGGGAACGCGGGGACCGTCTCTTCAAAACGAGGACCCAACAACACAAGCTGGTTGGGAAATAGTTCCCACGGGGGGCGCAAGGATAATAAGACATCCGATCGAAATCCTGATGGAATCCGGTTAGTCGTATACTGGGATCCGAGTTGGACCCCACTGGGATATGATTGGAATCCTCTTGGAACCCTTAGGAATCCTGCTGTTGATATCCGATTTGGATCTTAGCAAAACCAAGTTAAACATCCTAGTGTAATATGATCGAGATCTTATTGGAATCCTTTTGGGATCTACACTCGGAATCCTAATGGCATTCTGAAAAAAATCCGATTGGAATACTGTTGGAGTCGGATTGGGATATCGTTGGCGCCATATTGGATCCCTTTGGAATCTGGTTTGAACCCGGTTGGACCCAGATTAGAATCCTATTGGAACCTGATTAGAATCATATTGTAATCCCACTGGGACCCTTCTGAATCCTGTCGGGATCTTGGGAAGCCGATTGGGATCTCACTGGGTCATGCTGCAATCCTCCTGCACTCTCAGTGATACATGATTGGGGTCTCGTTGGAATCCTACTCGGATCTGTGGGAATTGCGCACTGAGGGGTCCAGGGCGGAATGTCACCTCTGGGGGGCGAGGAGCGATATCGCTTCACCGAAATGGAGAGCCGATAACTGCATCGCAGGGCTAGTGGAGAAAGAGGGCTGATACGAACCAAACAATTCTACAGATCCGCCTCCGTTCTCATCCCTGCCCATCCTCCCATGATTGTTTTACCCCTTCCTGGGAGGGGGCAGGGAGAGGAACGAAGTGGATCTGTGTAATTGTCCTCCCCTGAGATGAGGGGCAATGAAGCTTGCCTAATGCTCCGGACACGCGTCCGAGCATCGCAAACTCCAGGCGGGCGAGGCAATGGCATGTGGAGACGGATAGGACCTGGAGCGACCTGCGACGACATACACGGCTATTCACCGTCCGTCTTGGAACACCCAGCTGAACTTAGCGGCCAGGGTGCCCGGCACGGACGCGCGATTTGTACAGAACAGACATGCAACGCATATCTTGACACTGGCCGTGTATAAAAATACCACGGAGCGACCTGCGCATGCACTGCAGCTGGAAGTGCCCATCCACTTCAACGACGCTTCCCTAGTTGCTGCTGCGGGGATTCGGGAGGATGGGCATCTACCTCCAATTGCAATACTCGCAACAACCACATGGAGCGTTCCGGAAACGCAGTACCAAAACGTACGGCACGCAGAGGACGTTGGGGGCGCACGTGTTCTTACTGCCGCCGGCTTCACCTGGCCTTCCGCCGCCTCCCGCCAAGGAAGAAGAAGCGGTCTGCTGACCGGCCGAGGCGGGCCGGGCCCCTGACGGCACGCGGAAGCGCGCCTGGGCAGACCGAGTGAGCCTGGCAAAGGAAGCGCGCCTCCCGCCAAGGAAGAGATGGTAACTCCTTCGGTCCCTCGAGAACGATGCCTGTCTGGAACGCCCCATACGGGTGCGTCGCTCGCAACGCGCGCGCGAGGGGCCGCCACCCTTCGACAGCGGCGCGTCGCGCGCTGGCGGATCGCGGCAGGGCGTGGGGCGGCGTGTGCTCCTGCCACGCGAGCACCACGTCACCCACCGAGGATCCGCTGACAGGATGCGTGATCCGAAGGCAGCAAGATGCGAGGCCGGGAGTTGTGCTCGCACGGCAGGTTCCTGTCTTGTGACGATCCCCGCGCTGGTATCCGACACCGCGTGGATCGTTCAACCTTCAGCGATCGGAGGCTTGTCGATCGCCAGATCGTTCCGTTCTGGCAGGTTCTGGGCCACCAGCGGTATTCAACGCCCACGCTGGGGTCGCAGCCGCGTCGACACGACACAAGCTTCGGGGACCTCGGCAGGCGGTGGACATGGGCATATTCTGGCCCTGGGAAGCCGTATCCACCGCCTGCCGATGTCCCGAACATCGAACCCCCAGGCGGTGGACAGGCATGCTTGGATTCCCAAGTGATGGTTTATGTACAAATCCGCGCCTCGGAGTAAGAAGCGACAACCCCTGACTGAGCATCGTTTAATCAACCCATATCCCCGTGGGCGTGGCCTAGGCCCCACTGGCCGATCTTCCCCTCTGGATGGGGATATATGCCGTTTCCTTCGGGTTTCGAGGGGTAGATCCCCAACTGGGGTGCTGAGATGGTGGTGGTCTGGATGGGAATGGGGATGGAGATAGGGGTCGGTTAAACTATACTTGTTGACCTTCCCGTGTAGACCCGCCTCCCCTCGATCACGGCTTACAGCCGGAGGAAAAAAATGTCGGCACCGAGCCGAAGCGTGGGAGGTTACCGAGAGCTTTACAGATGTGCGACCCCGACGCTGCGGTCCCGCTGGTGTTGCGTCCGCGGCCCACGTGGATGCAGGAAGAAGAAGAAGCGGCATAAGCATACACTTTGGCACCGTCGGGGTTGGTTGGGGAGGACACGCCCTTTCGCGGAGCCACGTTGCAAAAGGAGTGTCGAAGGCATTGACCGAGAGCCACGGGACACAGATGTACCCTTGATCTGGCCGGGTCGAACTACTAATCAGGCTCGACTGTACGTCCGTGCAGATTTCTTGGATCGGCGCTGGGCACCCTTCCCCTGCGCACGGGGCGCACCACGGGCGGCGCCAGAGGCGCCGCCAAAGGGTGCCCAGTGCCGATCCAAAAAGTCCACGCGGACGTCGCAAAAAGTATGTGCACGTCGATGCTTCCTCTTCGCTTGGAGTGAAAACCACCAGATGGCCGTCTGCCCCATCCCTGGACCTGCACGGCCTGAGACGACAGCAACAAACAAAAACAGTCACCCACGAGGGCACGCGCGTGAGCGCCGCGCACCCCCAGACGCCTGCGTTTCTCTGCTGGCGTTGAGGGAGGATGACACTCTTCTGCACTTCGGAGCGCCCGTGAATAACAGGAACAAGACGAAATCGTGCCGTTCAGCACGAGGCACGCCCGTACCAGCGAACTCCTCCGCCCTAACATACCAACGGTCGGCGGGCCCAGCAGGGTGCAACACAGAGGCGGCTCACCTCACAGCTGAAGGATGTTGCGTACTGGAGCGTGCCGCGCCAGCCGAATCGACGGCGGAAGCGACCTGTGGAGCCTCCTCGGAGCCAGATGTACTTCTGATTCTGGGCCTGGCACGTGCACGAACGTGCGAGCAATCTCGTAGACGCATCTCGAAGCCCGCGTCGAGTCGCAGCAACCATCCGACGTTTCGGTGATGCTGCCTGCTGCCACGGTCGCTGCGCGGCCCCTGGGAGATAAGCAGGTAGATGTCTCTTCGGGGCCAGACCCAGATGCATCTGCCTTCATCATCAAAGCTCCAAAATGACCGAGAGACGTAGAACCACCAGTACAGGTGCTGCTGTCGTCGTCCCCCGACAGAAACCACGGGCTCTCCATGAACTTTTCCTCCGCGTCCATGGGGTCGCAGCCGCCTCCGGGGCAAACGCCCACAAGACTGCGCCCCAGCCTGGGCAGAATCCACGGGCACGCCACGGGACTCGGCTCCCAGTCCGAACCGCTGGGGGCGCCCCCGCAGCAGGCGCTGGCAACGCCTCTGGGGAGTAGGAGAACAAGAAACTGCACAAGCACTACTTTTCGGAGCCCCGAAAAAAACTGTATATGCAGCTTCCATTTGGGCATGGTGTGGAGGCCGTGGCCTCCAGAATGTGAAACGTAAGCAGATTCACGTGAAAGTCACCACCCACTGATCCCTGCCGCCGATGACCATCGTAGGTCGTTTTTGTTGCTTTGCTCGTGCCGTCTCTGCATGGTCGCTGCCCCGATCTGGTCCCGCTCGGCGTCGGCCTCGCAGCATTGCCCGCCCAAACTGTGCGGATCCGCCAGCCCCCTTGTGGGGCCACCAGGCTGTAGGACGAGGTTGCTGCTCCCTGCACCAGTTGCCTTGTCAAGTTTCCAATGTTACAATCCTGCGTTCTGCTTCCTATTGTAAATTGTCGAAGTCCGCACGATGGGAGAAGCCCCAAACCAATAATTCACCACGCCCGGATCGCGTTACAGGGCGTGGGACATGCAAAAACCATCACAATCGCGTCGCCGAAACCAGAACCCCTCGTAAAATAGACCGTATTCGCGTCCCCGAGGCAACAAACCCTCGCAAATTACATCATTCGTCCGTCCCCGAGGCCGCAAACCCTGGTAAACTGTACCATACTCGCGTCCCCGAGGCAACAAACCCTAGTAAGTTATGCAACAGTCGCGTTCCTGAGGCCACAAACCGTCGTAAAGTATACAAAGCTCGCGTCCCCGAGGCCACAAACCCTAGTAAATTAAACAAGTGTTGCGTCCGCGGGGCTGTGATCTTGTAAAACACGCGATGCTCGCGTCCCTGGAAGTCATGAACGCTTGCAAATGACACCGTAGTCGCAGTGCCGAGGCCTCGAGTGCATCAAGGCGCCCGAAGATGGTTCCAAGACGGCCCAAGAGGGCCCCAAGAGGCCCCAAGAGCGCTCCAAGAGGCCCTCCGATGGTGATATCTGGTGCTTTAGGTTTGAGATGTGATGGGCTGTTGGTCGGTGGAGGTTGGCGTCTCGATTGTCATTCATGTGCGTCGGTGGCGGTGGTGTCGGAAGGTGCTGGTCGGCGCTACTTTTGCTGGTGCTGTCGGTCAACGGGTGTCGTCCTTGACAGCGTTGATGGTCGGCGGTGGTTCTGGCGTGCGTTGCTGGTCATTGCTGTTGGTCTGGGGTAGTCTGCTTTCTTCTCTCAAAGGAAGCCAGAAGGTACCCAAACCGCTCTTTCCCGGGCCTCTCCCAGGGTGCGCTCTGCCTAGATCTCCGCGGCGAACCCAACCGTGGCGACGAGGGCGCCGAAGACCGAGGCAAGGGCAGCGGCACGGGCATCCCTCCTCTGAGCCTCGTGGCAGACAGGCGGCGACACCCGAGTCCTCGTTCCCCCACCAGCCATCGATTCTCCTGCACCCGTGGAGGGCGTGGGTAAGCTTCGGATTTCGCCACGTGTTCGACGAATTTCGGGGATGGACAGACCCCCCTTTAGTAGAACGTGGTTTAGTGAAAACGACCTGAGGCCCAAACCTGGCGGGCGCAAGCCTGGAAAATAACGGCCACGGCGCCCTCTCGAGAACCGAAAACGGACAACTCACTAATCGACGTGTCACTGTTGGGGGTTCTGTCCAGCCCCGAGAATTTCGAACCCTGCTCTCGCCGCCCATCGAGTTGCCTGACTCGTGAACCAGCAAGGGGTTGGCTCCGGATCTCGCCGCCGAGCGGAGCCCCCGAGCCCTCCGCCCCAAGGCATGCGTGGCCCCGACGGGCTCAATGCGGGGCCCCTGGAGGTCCCGACCCACTCCCCGACCCTGGGCTTTCGTCCTGAGTCGTTTTTTGACGGCCCCAGGTCGGAGGACGAGGAGGACGAGGAGTAGGAAAAGGAAAAGGAGGAGAAGGAGGAAGAGGAGGTGGAGGAGGAGGTGGAGGAGGAGGAGGGAGAGGAGGAGGAGCAGGAGGACGCAAGAATGACCCTGGATAAGAGTGACCTTCGGTGCGCGGCTTTTGGGGGCCGCAAGGGGGGGCAAACACGAGCGCGCCAGACGCTACTATCGCATCGCGATCGGCGGTCGGGGAACCCCATCGGGCTGATACCCAAGGGCACTCCAGCGAAGGGTCACTCTTTCGCGGCGCGCACAAGGGGGTAGGGGGAGGGGGGGGAAGGCTTCTTAGAAGGAGGCTGCTTCTTAGAAGGTGCCGGCCTTACATCTACAGACAAGGCCCGCGCCTTCTAAGAAAGCAGGGGTGCTTCTAAGAAGCCTTCCCCCCTCCCCCTACCCCCCTCTGCGCGTGGCCGAAACTCTTACGAGCAGTCGACCAGGGCCCGGCGAGGGTGCCGGGAGGCAAAAGATGGACAAAAACACACCCGACGTGATATTTGCAAGACGCGATCCCAGACCACCGACATCGTGATGTTTTCGCTACGTTGACCCCCAGAGGTCTGGACCCCTCCCCCGGGACCAGTTTTTCATCCTGAATCACTTTGTGACGGTCCCAAGACTTTGTACAGTCGGGGCGTTGACCTAAGGAACCCTAAATAAGGAACGGGGCCCCTCTCTCCCATAAGTTGAACTTCGATTTCCCATGGAAAACCTCAGGAAAACAGAAGGCAAACTGTCGAACAATCAAGGAACACCGAGCCCCTCCCCAACGAAAAGGGTTCCTTCGTCAGGGCCCCAGCTGTGAGGGCCACCGGAGGCCGAAGGTCTAGAAAAACCTCCCGTCGTGAGTCTTTGGCCACGCAAGGGGGGGGGTCCTCCTCCTCCTCCTCCTCCTCCTCCTCCTCCTCCTCCTCCTCCTCCTGCTCCTCCTCCTCCTCCTCCGCCTCCTCCTCCTCCTCCTCCTCCTCCTCCTCCTCCTCCTCCTGCTCCTGCTCCTCCTCCTCCTCCTCCTCCTCCTCCTCCTCCTCCTCCTCCTCCTGCGTCCGCCCGCCCGCCTCCCTCGACCTCTGCGGCAGCGCCGCGGGCACCCGGGAAGCAGGCCGGGCGCTGCGCCGGCGGCGCCGGCGGCGCGGTGCGTAGCAGCGGGCACCCCGGCGGGCAGGCCAGCGGCGGCGCGCCCGTCGCGAGCGTGCTGGCGGCCTTCTGCACCACCACCCTCTGGAGGCAGGGGAGGAGGAGGGTGGGGGAGGAGGAGGGTGGGGGAGGAGGAGGAGGAGGAGGAGGAGGAGGAGGAGGAGGAGGAGGAGGAGGAGGAGGACGAGGAGGAGGAGGAGGAGGAGGAGGAGGAGGAGGAGGAGGAGGACGAGCAGGCGAGACGATGCGCTCGGCGATCGCTGCCACCCGGGCGCGCTCCGCTCGCAGGCCCTCCGGGCCCGCTACGTTTTACTGCGCGCGCGGCGCCTCCGCGTGGGCCCAGACATCATCATACGAGACCGATGTTGCATCACAGCAGCAGTTCGGCCCCTGACTTTCGCCCTGGGCTCGGTGAAGTGGAGTGATGAGTTTCGGGGTCCACACGAGGGGAAAAAAGCATCACTCCACTAACATCTGGGGCCCCTGGGGCCTCAGTGGGCCCTGGGGCCCAAAATTGGTGAAGTGATGGTTTTCGGGCCTCGGACGTCAGGCGTCTCGGAGGAGTCAAGGCGGGGGGGGGTCGCCGTAGTGTCGGCCTCTCGGAGCCCTTCTCAGGGCCTCGGGGCCGTCAGGCACGGCCCGGGATGAATTCGCCGGCCCAACGGGCCAAAGGCGTGCTAAGATCTCCGGTAACTGCTAAACAATACTTCTAGTTCGCGCGCGCGGGGCGGCCCCTGGGGGTCCCCCGGCGAAAAGTACCCCGACCGCCGCCCGACCACTGCTACTCAGAGATGGTTTTCCTCCTGGGTGTGGCTTCTCAGGCCCCCCAGAGCGCGCCAAGAGTGCCCCAAGAGGCCCCCAAGACTGCCCAAAGGGCCCCCGAGACGCCTAAAGAGCGCTCCAAGACGCCGATGATGACCTCAAGACGGCCCAAGAGGCCTCCAAGTGGCCTCCAAGAGGCCTCACAAGAGGGCCCTGAGAGGCCCAAATCAGACATTTCACGATGGTTTTGAAAGAATTTGGGCCTTGTCCCCTTTTCGGCCATCCGATGCTCCAAGACGGCCCAGGAGGCCCCCAAGAGCACCCCAAGACGGGCCAAGAGGCTTCCACGAGGGCCCCAAGAGGGCCCAAGAGGGCCCCGAGACGACCCAAGAGGCGCCCAAGACGGCCCAAGACGGCCCCAAGACGGCCCCAAGAGGGGCCCAAGAGGGGGACCACGAACCAAAACCTCGAGCCTTCCGCCCCAAGAGGGCCCCAGGAGGCCCCGAGAGGCCCCAAAGAGGCCCCAAGATGCCGCCAAGAGGCCCCCAAGAGGTCCCAGGAGGCCCCCAGGAGGCCCCCCAGAAGACTTCAAAAATGCCTCCCAGGCGCCCTCGAACGGCTTCTGAAAAGACCCCAAGAGGCCTCCCAGAGAAGCATCTTGACGACGACCCTGTTTGGCCCCAAGAGCAACACAAGATGCCAACGAGAGGCTTCCTCCTCCGCCCCTTCCTCTTCCTCCTCCTCCTCCTATTTATCTTCATCCTCCTCATCTCCTTCTCATCCTCTCCTCCTCCTCCCCTCCCCTTCCCCATCCTCATCTTCTTCCTCCTCGGCGGCGCCACAATGGCCCCGGGCCCACGGCGAAGCAGTAGAGATCATGCAACATGGGCCGGCGGAATGAGCGAAACGATTGAATATATTTATACATATATATACATATATGTATATATATATGTATATATGTATATATGGTCCCGGGGAAGTGGTCGAGAGGTCGGAGGCTCGTGTCTCGAACAGGAAGGACCCCAGGCAGGCGTCGCATTATGTCGCAACGGGCACTGTCGCCCAGTTTTGGGGCCCTGGAGCCCTCACAGATCGATCGGGCTCGAAGAACTGCGCAGAAAGATTGTGTCTGTGGCTCGGGTCGCGATCTTGCACGATTCTGCCATTTATTGCAAGGTCGGATAGCATGGGAGACCGGCTTCCGTCGGAAGGAGTGACCCTAGGCAAGAGTGACCTTTGTTGCGCAGTTTTAGGGGCGCGCGCGGGGGGGGGGAAGCACATCCAAGCGCGCAGACCGCTGCTGTCGCATCGCAATTAGCGATCGGGGGCCCCCAGTGGGCCCGCACCAAAGGTCACTCCGGCGAAGGGTCACTCTCACGTGCGGTCGAGATTAATGACTCCGCGGGAGCCTGGCACTGGACACCGGCGCCTCCCCCCAGGATCGACTGGCTGTCTTCCATCCCAGGTCGATCTCAGGGGGACCCCAAGACGAAGCCAGGACGAGGATAAAATCAGGTGAGGATGGATCGAGTATCTCTGAGACCCAGCGGCTCTGGAGGATGCCTCGGGCGCCGCGGCCTTCTCTCGGGGATGGACAGACCCCCCTTTAGTAGAACGTGGTTTAGTGAAAACGACCTGAGGCCCAAACCTGGCGGGCGCAAGCCTGGAAAATAACGGCCACGGCGCCCTCTCGAGAACCGAAAACGGACAATTCACTAATCGACTTGTCACTGTTGGGGGTTCTGTCCACCCCCGATTCTCAGAGCGTTCCGCCACGCTCTGAGAGCGTTCCGGCACGCTCCGGAGCGGACTTGTCCTCGCCCCCGCCCCGTGCAAAACCCCGGGAGGGCCACGGGAGCCCCACGGCGGCGCAGCACCTCCAGGACCCGCCTTCCCCGCGGGGCCCGTTTGCTCCGCGGTGGCCTCTGGTGCACGTCCTCCCGCCTCCGCAGCGCGCAGACGTCGTGGAGGCGAGGGTCCTGCAGCAGGTCCTCTAGGAGGCAGTGTAGATTGATCGTGCATTGCCTGCGTGTGCACTTCCCTTCAGCTCCCCTTTTTGTTCTCTCTGATGTAAAACGACGCGAAGATCGGGACAAAATCGGATCGGGGTAACTCGAAATCTCTGAGAATCGGCGGGTTTGGAGGATGTATTGGGCGCCGCGGCCGCTCCAGAGCGTTCCGGAACGCTCTGAGAGCGCTCTGGAACGCTCTGAAGCAATTTATCCCGATCCTAGCCCTGTTTTATGATGCCTCCCTGTGCCCACTGCAGCCACACCCTGCTCGGGGCTGGCTGACCCGTGCTCCTCCTGAGCTCCAGGGCAGCACCGACGCTCCCCTCTCCTGTGCGAGTGCGAGCGGTACGCAGGTTTCTGGCAGCACAGACGGCGGATTGGAGGTCACACTCATCGGGCGCCCGTCGTGCGAAGAGGACCTGCTCACCATCGTGATCGCTTCAGAGGGGCGACGACAGGGGCGGGACTGTGGGTCGATCCATGGGCGATCCGGAATCGGTGCCTCCCGCCCTGTCGTTGCCCCCAGCCCTGGAGGCACTAAAACTGAAGGGACCCCAGGACACACAAATAAATACACACAAACAACAAGATTCCCCATATTTTCTCATATTTTTGGGGTTTTCGTCTTCCCCCCCACTTCGCATATTTTCCCATGTTGTCTGGGAATCGACGATGAATTGTGCCTGTGTGTTTCTTCCCCTCCTGAAAAACTTGAATCCACACCACTTGTTGGAACTCCGCGCGGACTTCTTGGATCGGCGCTGGGCCCCCCCTGCGCCGGGGAGGGGGGGCGCCGGGCCAGCGCAGGCTCCAGAACTCCGCGCGGACCTCCGAAGGCGCATGTTCATGCAGTGCTGTTCTTCTTCTGACTACCTACCAGACCACCCCAATCCAACCCGAAGACCCGAATTTGACCCGAATTTCGGGTTGGGGGGGGGCACGGGTTCCATGTGTTTTTTCCAACGTTCCCCGACCCCCCCCCCCCCACTGGAAATCGAGGATAAGTTTGGGCCTTCGGGTTGGGTTGGGGTGGTTTGGTGGGTGGTGATCTTCAATCTTCGAGGTCCAAAAGCCGCTGGTGGCCCAACGCAGTCTCGCTCAGCGACAGGCCGAACTCCGACCGGAAGAGGCGCTTCACGTTCTGCAGCGGCATCTCCCGCCCCTTCTTCTCGGCGCGGCTCAGGAGCTCCCAGAGGCCAGCCCGCACCACCTCTGGGGGAGCAGTGAATAGCTGAGCTGCCTGGGCACACGAAACCTTCGGGGAACCCGCGCGGACTCCTTGGCTCGGCGCCGGACCCCCTGCCCGGCGGGCTCCGTCTCCGCGCGCAAAGGGGGGGACGCCGGAGGCGCCTCCAGGGAGGGGCCAGCGCCAATCCAAGAAATCCACGCGGACCTCCGAAAGTTCTCTGCCGTGTTCTCGACCTCGGGTGCCACCTCCCAGCTGGCCACCCCCAGAGGGGCGTCCGGCCCCGTGGGCACAGGCACGGCGTTGGCAGCACACTTCATCTTGATGCCGGCCTCCGACTTGTGGTACGGCACCGCGCGCCCCGAGTTGTAGCCGAGGACCCTCCTGCTGCCCATCGCCAAAGCCACCACATGGTTCACCTCTGGGGAAGCCGCAGTGTACCGATACATCTGCTCCCCAGGCCTCTCCCCAGGTGCGTTCTGACCAGAACTGCGAGGCGAACCCAGCCATGGCGACGAGGGCCTCCCATAAGACGCGACGAGGCGAAAACTGAGCAAGGGTAGCGGCGTCGGCACCTCCTCTAAAGCAAGAAGAACTGCATAAACACGGTTTCGACGGTCCGCGCAGAATTCTTGGATGTGCGCTGGACCCCCCTCTTTCGCGCGCACTGCGCGCCAGGGGCGGCACCAGAGGCGCCGCCAGGGAGGGGCCAGCGCAGATCCAAGCAGTCCGCGCGGACCGTCGAAAGGTTGTGCTTCTGCGGTTTGTTCCTCTTCGATGTTCCTTTCGGGGATGGACAGGCCCCCCTTTAGTAGAACGTGGTTTAATGAATGAAAACGACCTGAGGCCCAAACCTGGCGGGCGCAAGCCTGGGAAATAACGGCCACGGCGCCCTCTGGAGAACCGAAAACGGACAATTCACTAATCGACGTGTCACTGTTGGGGGTTCTGTCCACCCCCGATCCTCCTCGCAGCCTCGCCCAAGGTCAGGCCGCGGAGGCACGCCAGGTCGAGCTCCGCGAGCGCCATGGCGCACGCGTAGCGGCTGCCTGGCAGGGCCTCGCTGTGGCCCGCGCCGCCCTCCGCGAAGTGCGCCGCAAGGCCGTCCCACAGCTCCTGCGGGTACGGGTCGCGCTTGTCCGCGGGATCCACGAAAGGGTGCGAGCTCGCCCCGACCAGCACCACCGAGTACTCCCTCGCCTCCTCTGCGGGCAGCGCGCGACCACAAAGGAACGCCGAGCAGGGCACGGACGGGCGCTTCCGAAGGGGCCCCAGGACACACAAATACATACACACAGAGAGAAAAAGATCCCCCATACTTTCCCAGTATGTTCTGGGCTTTTGTCTTCCCCCCCACACTTCCCACAGTTTCCCATGCTTCCCTGGGAATCGACGATTCATTGTGTCTGTGTTTGTCTTCCCCCCCACTTCCCATATTTTCCCATGTTCTCCTGGGAATCGACGATCGATTGTGTATATGTGTGTGTGTGTGTTTTTTCCCCTCCTGAGCTTCCGGCCGCGGGGGGCCTCGGCCACGGCTGGGGAAGCTCCCCAGCCCCAGCGCTCCGAGGAGCGGCCCCCCAAAAACCGGAGCCCCTCCCGAGCCCGAGGCGGTCCTCCTTCCAGCGCCTCGACTGCAGAGGAACACACACAGACAAGAAGATCCCCCCTAGTTCCCCATCTATATTTCTGGGGTTTTGTCTTCCCCCCCACTTCCCATAGTTTCCCATGCTTTCCTGGGAGTCGACGATCAATTGCGCCTGTGTTCTTGTTCCCCTCCTGAGCTTCCGGCCGCGGTGGGCCTCGGCCACGGCTGGGGAAGCTCCCCAGCCCCAGCGCCGAGGGGCGGCCCCCAAAAACCAGAGCCCCTCCCGAGCCCGAGGCGGTCCTCCTCTGCAGCGCCTCGACTGCTCAGTCGGGGCGTTGACCTCAGGAACCCGGAATAAGGAACGAGGCCCCTGTTCTCCACGAGTTGAACTTCGATCTCCCATCGAAAGCCCAAGGAAAACCTGAGGGCAAGCTGCGAAGCGCTGAAGGAACACGGAGCCCCTCCCCAACGAAAAGGGTTCCTTCTTCAGGGCCCCGGCTGCAGAGGAAGACACCACGGGATGGACGTAAACTTTCTCGGGACCTGCTGCAGGACCCCCATCTCCACGACGCCGGCCAGAATCCGCGCACGCTCCGGGAAGTGTATGTTCACGTCGCTCTTTTTCCTCGGTCCTCGGGCCGCACGAGGAGGCGGGGGCTGCCCTCGCACAGCGCGCGCAGCTCCCTCGCGCAGATGAACGGCGGGGAGGTCGCGCCGCTCCGTGCGCAGGCGCGCTCGCCGACACGCCGGAGGATGATGCGGCCGTACGGTTTCAGCCGGTCGGCATAGAGGCTGCGCGTCGCGGCCAGCACCTCGTCCTCGGTGAGCTGCACGGACGCCTGCGGCCCGTACGGGCGGGGCATCGACGCGGCGGAGCGTCCTGTGGCTCTGCGCGGTCTGCTCGGAATGCAGCTTGACCCAAGAAAGAGCATAATAGCATGGTGGTTACGTCGGTCATGAACATCGATGGTGGCGATGATGTTCGGGCGTACCAGAGCCCCCGCAGAGGCGGACCGGAGTGCAGGGCTTTTTCTGCTTTGAAAGGAGAAACCCAAGCAGAATCCCGCGGAAAACGCCGAATCCGTACAACGACCAACAACATGAACATGCGTGCCTGTGCAACCCAGAACTGGCACCCCAGACGGGCTCCACGGCACCCCAGCCGGGACTTGGGTTCTGTGGCCCCCTTGCCGCCCACACGAAGCCGCGCGGGCTTCCCGACCCAGGCCCCAGACTTCGGACCTCGCCGAAGGTGTCGGGCCAGCGCCCACTCCACGGAGACGCTCCTCCCCTAACCCTCACCGCCGTGCCAAACAGGTCTCCCAGACCCGCCCCACAGATCAATGATCAGGGGGGGGGGGGCGACCCCAATCCCATCGGCGAATGGACAAAGCATCTGGAGCCCAGCGCGGAGACATACGACGGGGAGGCGTCCATCCCCGACAGGGGTGTGTTCGAAAAAAACAAGAATGCGCATTCCGGGAATCCCCTTCCAAACGGCCAGCTAACGGGGGGGGAACACGCAAGATGACCCTGAACCGAACTGGAAGCCATGAAACGACGGCTTCGGCAACCGAGCCGCCAAAACTGGAGCTTGAACCGAACGGGTTGGAACCGGACCAGCCACTTCGAACCGAACAGGCGGCCCGAAACTATGGCCCGAAAGGCCAAACCGAACCAATTGGAACCGAACTGGCGCCCCAAAAAAATCCCCCAGGACCCCCCAGCACCCCCAAGCACCCCCTGGGACCCCGCTTGACCCCCCGGGACCTCCCAGCACCTCCCAAAACCTCCAAAGACCCCTGAAGACCCCCGGGGACCCCAAGACCCCCCAGCGCACCTCAGGAACCGCCAAACCGCTCTATGGCCTCTGAACCGAACCGGCCGAGCCGGCCCGAACGACCAGACCGAACACCTGAAAACCAGCCAGCCGCCGAAACCGAGAACGGGCGCGCCGCCGAACCAGCCCACCGCCGGACAAGCCTGAATCGAGCCGACCAGGACCCCTCCTGAACTCGGAGGCCGGGGGCCAAAGATCGCCTGCGACCGACTCCCTGAGATCCTCGCGTGGACACTTTTTGGCACCGGGCGTTTCCGCTTGGCTCCGGGCCCAAAGACCACAACAAATCGATCCGGCTCGAACATTGGCGCGACAAGATGGGGTCTGGGACCCCGGTCGCGTTTGTTTGGCGGCGTTGCATTTTTCGCCCGGTCGAATCTTTGGGTTGGGCTGACCCGCGCGACGCTGCCCAGCCCCGCCCCGCCCACCGCGGCGCCGAACAGCACTCTGCCGCGCGCGCGGCGTCGAGCGGCCAGTGGGCGGCGACGACGGCCTTGCCAGGCACGCCGCAGGGAGAGGTCGTCGGAGGCAGAAAGGGATTGAAACTTCACACGGTCGTCTTTCAATGGGGTATTTCCCGCACTGGCAACGGATTCATGGAGATGCAACTTGGAAAGGGCTGCTGCTCCTCTTCCTTCTCCGTCTCCCTGTGCTCCCTCTCCTCCTCTTCCTCCGCCGACGCCGACGCCGACACCGCGGGGGGGGGGGTCGACGGAGGTGGAGAGGGAGGACGAGGGCAGGATCGCGGGAGCGAAGTCCGGCCGGAGCAACACGAGCGAGGGCAATCAGTCCGCTCCCTCGCCTGGAGGAGGAGGAGGAGGAGGCGATGATCCTGCAGCAGGCCCTATGAGGAACAGGTTTATCCTCGTCCTCGCCCCCTCCCCCTCAACCCCCTCGCCCGGAGGAGGAGGAGGAGGAGGCGAGGGTCCTGCAGCAGGCCCTATGAGGAACAGCTTTATCCTCGTCCTCGCCCCCTCCCCCTCAACCCCTCTGGCCCCTCCGCCCGCTCAAGGGAGCCTCTGGCCGTCGGGCGGCGACTGCGGGGAGGGGGCGGCGTTGCCTCGCGCCGCGCGGCGGGGCTGCTGTAGGGTGCCGCTGCCACTTTCTCGTCGTCGCCCCCTCCTCCTCCTCCTCCTCCGCCTCTGTCTCCTCCGACGCCTCTGTCTCCTCCGTCTCCTCCTCCTCCTCCTCCTCCTCCTCCTCCTCCTCCGCCTCCTCCTCCTCCGCCTCCTCCTCCTCCTCTACTCCTTTCCCTCATGACTACCTCCTCCCTGTCGCACCCCGAGGCCAGTCCGAAGGGCGGGCCGGGCGCTTCGCCTGAGATTCCCGTACCATGTGTGAGCCCCAAGCTTAAACGCTGACAACACTCGGAGGAGGAGGAGGACGAGGAGAAGGAGGAGGATGGCTTCCAAAATGGGGCTCTCGCCGTGCCGCCGCAAGAGTTCATGGGTTGAGGGCGGCTCGTTTTCAAAAGGTGGTTCTCGCCTCAGCGCCGCGCACATTCGGCCTGGAGAATTACAAGAGCTTCACGGATTGAGGATGGAACGACTTCAAAATGTGGTTCTTGCCTTTGCGCCGCGCATTTTCGGTCTAACAAATCGCCTATGGCTCACGGATTGAGGGCGGTTCCTTTTCAAAGTGTGCATCTCGCCTCAGCGCCGCGCACAGTCGCTGAAAGAAACTGCAAGAGCTTCAAGGACTGAGGGTGGTTATTTTTCGAAAGGTGGCTCTCGCCTTTGCACTGCGCACATTCGTTTTAAACATGTGTGAGAGTCTCGCACATGGTTCACGTTTCAGACATTGTGTTTTTGGAACGGTTCATGATTGTCAGGACGCAACAGTTACGTTGATTCGCAGTGCTGACGTTTGAGGAATGGTGTTCTGGCACATTCACGGATCGTCAAGATGCAGCAGTCAGCTTGACTCCTGGCGTTAATACAAATGCTTCGGCTCGCTTCAGAATAATTAAACCGTTGTCTCCCAGCGGGCCACTTACCCCAGTGCAACGAAGCCTTGTATGGGGCCTACGACGAGGGAGCTTGCAGGGAAGGTGTATTCCAACATCGGTGGTGGGAATTGGGTTTGCACTGGTCCTCCTCCTCCACCTCCTCCTTCTCCTCCTCCTCATCTTCCTCCTCCTTCTCCTCCTTCTCCTCCTCCTCCTCCTCCTCCTCCCCATCCCCCTCCTCCCCCTCCCCATCCCCATCCCCCCCCTCAACCTCACTCTCCTCCTTCTCCTCCGTCTCCTCCTTCTCCTCCTCTTCCTCCGCCTTGCTCCCCCTCCTCATGCACTGCTACATGTCCTTGCCCTTGCTCCTGATCGCCATTTCCCTCTGTGGAATCATTATCAGATTGGCATCGTCTCTCCCCTCATCTGGTTACGGTTGACGGGCGACTCAGGATCTCGGGGCATTGATATCGCCTAAGCACTGCGAGCGGTCATCGTACCCCGATTCCTCATCATGGGTATGAGCATAACCACCACCACCATCAGCATCATCATCACCATCATCAGCATCATAAGCATAATCATCCTCAGTATCATCCTCATCGTTGTCAGTAGCATCATCGTAATCATCATCATAATCATCAGCATCATAATCATCAGCACCATCATCAGCACCATCATCAGCAACAGTAGCACCATCGTCATCATCATCAGCAGCATACGCATCCCGATCAGCTCATCATCACCACCAAAACCACCGCCAGCGTCATCGTTGTCAGCCGCAGCAGCCTTGTCATCTTCTTCCTCAACGTCTTTATCATCAGCAGCATCATCACCCGCACGGCCGCCTTCATCATAGTCATCGTTACTATCATCACCATCATCAGCAGCATCATACTCACAATCATCAACACCAGCATCAGCATCATCGTCGACATCAGCATCAGCATCATCATCAGCAGCAACATGATCATCATAACAGCATAGTCCCCATCGTCATTAAGCTTACCATCGCCACCATCATGACCGTGATCACAAGTATCATCCATAGCATCATGCCTACCAGCAGCATCCTTATTATCATACTGATACTAATCAGCATCATCACACTCACTATCATAATCAGCATAGGCATCAGCCTCTCCTTCCTCCGCACCATCATCAGCAGCATCTCATTACCCCCACAACCACCACCATCGTCATCATCATCATCATCATCACCACCACCACCACAAGAATCGTCATCGTCATCATCAGCAGCATCCCCATAATCAGCATCATCACAAACACCACCATCATCATGATCATCAGCAGCATCATGATCAAGTATTATCATCCTCATCGTCATCATCGTCAGCAGCATCATCAGCATCATAAGCATCATCGTCATCATCATCGTCATCGTCATCACCACCACCACCATCATCAGGCCATCACCTAATCATCACCAACACCACCACCAACACAATTATCATCAACATGATCATCATCAAAATCATCATCACCATCAGCATCATTATCATCATCAGCATAACCATTAGTAGTAGCAGAACTAGCATCGTCATCATCGTCATCATCATTATCACCACCACAACCACCACAAGTATCATCATCATCAAACTCATCATCATGACCATCAGCAGCATCATCAGCATCATCATCACCAACATCATCATCATCATCATCATCATCAGCATCATCATCATCATAATCATCATCATGATCATCATCATCATCATCATCATCATCATCATCATCATCATCATCATCATCATCATCATCATCAGCATCATCATCATCATCCTCATCATCATCATCATCATCATCATCATCGCCGTCGTCGTCATCGCTGTCGTCGCATAATCCTCCTCATTATGCTCATCCCCATCCCCATAATCATCATCAAGAGAAGGAGCAAGGGCAGCACTGTCTTCATCGTCGCCCTCACCATCGTCACCTTCGCCGTCGCCACCACCACCACCACCACTGTTGCTCCCAACCTCCTGGTCCCTAAGGATCCCGCGGACGCGGCCTAAATGATCCCTTCCGTGACGCGCCCCTTCCGTGACGATAACCCCCCGAAAATCTCCGACGTCGTGTCTTTTACCCAGCGTGGATCCCCAGAGGTCTAGACCGCTTCCCAGGGACGCTCGTGAGCCCCGAGCCGTTTCTTGACGGCCGGGGCGGGGCCCTTTCCGACCGATCTTTCTGCCACGACAAAACACATGCTCTGGGCTGGGGCTGGTCGGCTTTCGGGTCACAGCTGAGGCCTCCGGCGGCCGAGCGGGGCGATCCGGGCACACGCAGAACACTCTCGGCGAGGCGCGGCTGCTGCAGAGCATCACCGGGCGAGAAGACCTCCAAGAGCCGCCAAAAACTTCAGGGAACTTTCCTTACACTCGCCGATGTTTGTTTCAATCCGCGGCCCGTTTCTGTTCATCCCAAATCCGTTATTTTTATTGTCCGCAAACAGACAACGAGGCCACGAAATTGGGAAGCAAAACGCCGGCTGAAAAAATCAGGTCGGAGATCTGGGCTAATCACATACAGACGATACCGACACCGATATCGCTAATCGCCTGACCTCTCCAGGGGTAAACTCCGACGAGAACTCGGAGGAAGACCCAGCCGCGGCAACGAGGGCCTCCAGGGAAGGGCGGTGGCAGGGCGGTGGCATCGGTAGCGCCCCCAGACATCTGATATCTTAACCGTTTACGCTTCGCGAATCCCCACCAGCCCATTCAGAAGCCCTGCCCATGAGAGCTGGTGGGAAAAGGGACGAAGAGACACATATAGTGAAGTAGAGCGTGTAAGGAGAGGAGGGGAAGGAGGGCATTGAGCCATCTTGGAGGCTATCTTGGAGCATCGGGGACCTTCTTGGAGCTACGGGGCTGTATTGGGGGATGTTGGGGTCCGTAGGGCTCTTTTGGGGCATATTAGGGCACCCTTGGAGCTCTGTGGGGGGTCTTGCGGCCCTCTTGGGGCTCTTTTGGGGCGCCTTAGGGCCCTCATGGGGCCCTCTTGGGGCTCTCTTCGGGCTCTCTTGGGGGCCGTCTTGGGAGCTATGAAGCGCCTCCTGGGGCCATCTTGGAGACCATCGATCAAGGGAGGGGGGGTCCTCGATTTCCCTCCCCCCCTCCGGAGCCATCGAAATAGCATCTTGGGGCGCTCTTGGGGCCCTCTTGGGGCGACCTTTTTTTTTTGACTCGGCTCGACTGCGCCACGATACACAACCACGTCGTGCAAGCTCGACTGCAGGAAAAACATCATATGCTTGGCAACGGCGCAATGAAGGGAGGGGAGGGGAGGTGGCGGGCAAGGCTGGCCAGCCAGAATGGCAGCACCTGGTGAGGGCTTAGCCAATGCCAATGCCGAGGCCACGCTCGGACCTAGCAATGTTCAGACCAGTCAACTTGGCATGCGAGGCGCAAGACTGACGGACGAAGGAAGAGGTGGAGAAGAAGGAAGGAGGGCTCTGAAAAGAGGGGAGGAGAAGGTTGGGAGGGGGAAAGGTGGGGACTTCAAATCATAGCATGAGTGTCCCCGAGAGGTCGGAGCATGCGGGGCGGGCAGGCCACCTGACCGATGCGGCCTGGCCGCCCCTTCCGCGACCTAAAAAGGCGCAGTGCGAGAACAGTGGCGCCTCAGCTCGGCGGTGGACATACCTCCTCGGATCTGGCTTGCCCCCCCTCATCCTCCCGCCCCCCCTCCCCCCACCACAATTACTCAATATGAATACTACTTTCCCTCTTGTCCTGATGACGCTTGGAAAGTGGCCGATGGTAAAGGATGGGAGGGAGGGGTAGGATGTCAGATACGACGTCAGAGAGGACGGAAGGAACGGAACGAAGGAGGACCATTCTGTCAGAGCCGTGCCGCTTGACCTCACGGGTACTCCAGCTGCGCATTCGCTTGATGACGCTCAGGGCGGGGGAGGCTATGATATGGCGCTCATGCTGCCGAGGCGGTTGCCCATGAGGAGGTCCTGGGAAGCGAACACGCCAGGCTGGAAGAGGAGGATGTTCAGCGACCCGCCGTATAGAAAGAACCCCATGCGTTCGCCCTTTCTGACCTCGGGGCACGAAGCGCCGCTGCAAGAGCCAGGAGGCACCGAAGGCATCTCAGCATTCACCGTGGGCAGATGGTGTTCACGTCCGCCAAGCCGACCGCCACCTGCGCCACCAATCCATACGGGCCGGTGTCGTAGATTAATACGAGGCGGTGGAAGCCCGAGAACACGCCGAAGTCCGTGTCCGAGCTGCCAGTGTTGTCGCTGCCAAACCACCGCATGCCGTCCGGGATGCCGAAGAAAAAACCTGGCACGTCCACCGCTTCAACGAGGCGACCGTCCACGGGGGCGTGGAAGTTGTGGTAAGCGTAAGGCTCGAGCACGTTGGAGACCGCAGTACCACCGATGAACTTCGAGGCCAGCGCGGAGCCGTTCAGCAGCTCCTTGACATTGAAGTCGCTCCCCTTCACGGGCAGCCTGGTCTGGTTCGTGAGATACTTGATGATAAAATTGATCAACACGTCCCCTGGGGCTGTAACCACCATTTTGTCCTCTGGCTGACTGATGGGCCTGCTCTTGTTGTAATCTTTGAAGATCCTCGAGAAGTACTGGTTAAAGGAATTGTAGCCGTAGCCGGGGGGGTCGTCGGGATCGTAGCCCTCGTAGGCAGACATGTTCCCCCGGACGTTGTCGGCCTGAGCAGGGTCGTTGACGTACTCCACCCACCGCGCAACCGTAGCAAGGGAGGCTTTCGAGTCCATATACATGCCCCTCAGAGTGACCCACTTGTACGTCCAATCGAAGAACTCTGTGGTGGCCGTGGTCGCCGGAGGCGTCTGGCTTTTGAACTTGTTGAAGAGATCAATCGCCGCCTGGTTGCGGCGCTGGAGGAAGTTCATCTTGAGGATGTACGAAAACCCGTTGTCCTTGCCAGTCGGTTCGGGGAGCATGAGGAAGTACGAGCGCATGAACTCCACGAAATCCGCCTGTGACGCTCCGATCCATGGGTTCGGGAAGGCCTGGGGCGGATTGTCCGCGTTTTTGACAATGGGCTCCAAGCCCTGGATGGCCCTGTCAAAAGCCGCTGCCACCGTCCGTCGGGTTGCTGAAGAGACGGTTGAGCTCACAAGCCAAGTAGTCCCAAGCGGCGTCGAAGTCTTCCATCGTGTAATTGTTGAACTTTTTCGCGCAGTGCCTCTTGTCCTGCTCGATGGCCTCCTGGCCCGAGCCGTACATCACGTCCTGCGGAGGGAAGACGGGCGAGGACTGGCCGAAGGGCTCCAGCACCGTGGCCTCGTACGGCGGATTGCCCGTGGATTGCCCGGTGAGGGGGATCTTCGCGCTGCTCAGCACCTCCTCTACCAGCGGCGAGTTGCTGGCAAGACTGGAGCAGTTCTCAGCCTCCTTCGCCGCCGCGCGCATGTGCATGAGCAGGGCGACGCCGTCGTCCTGCTCGTCCCCGCAGGACCCCTCGCCGACCACCTCGCGAGACGAGCCGGCGGCCAGGGCGCCCGAGTGCAGCAGCAGGAGGAAGAGCGAGAGCGCCGGCGAGGACCACCTGCTCGTGAAGTACATCTCCATGCAGCGGGGTGGGGGCTGCGCAGACACCGCGACAACGTCCGCCGTGAGGCTGTATAGCTTGAGCCAATATCGCTTGAGCCAAAATGGCTACGGGCCCTCTTGGGGCGACCTTGGGAGCTCTTGGGACAGTCTTGGGGGCCTCTTGGGCCCTTCTTGGAGCTCTCTTGGGCCATCTTAGGGCCATCTTGAGGCCTCAAAACGCATCGGAAGCGAAAAGGCGAGAAGGCAAAAATCAGTGATTTTCCTCAGTCTGTTGAATGATTTTGGCTTCTAGGGGAGGTCCTGAGGGGTCGCCAAAAGCACCTGGAACCATCTTGTGGCCCTCTTGGGACCTTTTGGAGGCATGTTGTTAGCTATCTTGAGCCATGTTGAGCTGTCTTGAACGATCCTGGAGGCCATCTTGGGCTCTCTGAGGCCCTCTTGGAGCCATCTCAGGCTATCTTGGACGCCCTGACCGCTCGCGAACCCCCCCGTCCAGGTCCAGGGGAGGGGGTAATTAGAGGGAGGGGTAAACCCCTCCCCGCAGGGGAGGAAGGCTTGTTCGAAGAGGAAGGAGAGACATCGTTAGACCACCTGCGCCCAGGAGGGCTGGTGGGATTTGTTCAACGTGGGGCCCCCAGAACGCGTGACAGATTCCCCGGGGCCGGCGTTTCATCCCAGGCTGTTCTCTGACGGCCCTGGGCCCGGCGGGCGCGTCCGAGGCAGAACTGCCAAAACTCCGAGCCGCGATTGCTTGCTATCTGGGATCGGCACCGTCGCCGGGGCGGCAGCTGGGCCTCCCTGCCTCCCCCCTCTGCCTCCCTCCCTGCCTGCCTCCCTGCCCCCCTGCCTCCCTCCTCCTCCTCCCTCCCTGCCTCCCTCCTCCCTCCTGAGCCTCCTGGGCCTCCTCCTCCCTCCCTGCCTCCCTGCCTCCCTGCCTCCCTCCTGGGCCTCCTCCTCCCTCCCTCCCTCCCTCCCTCCCTGCCTGCCTCCCTGCCCGCCTCCCTCCCTGCCCGCCTGCCTGCCTGCCTCTGCGAGGCGGCCCCCGAGCCGCCTGGGTGCCCGTGCGCGCCGCGCGGCGCCACGGCCGGCAGCCGCACGGCGCCGCCGCGCGGGCCGCCGCCCTCCTTTTTCCGGGGGGGGGGCTGCGAAGAGAAGTCGGCGGCGAGCGAGGGGGGCAGGGGGATGTGGGCAGGGGTCGGGAAACACACCCAGATCCCCTGGCCCTGTGAAAGAATCACGACGGGAGATGTTTCTATACTTCCGGCCTCTGGGGGCCCTTACCGGGCCTCGGAAACGTCAAGAAACGGTGCACGATGAAAACTGGTCCCAGGGAAGAGGTCTAGTTTCGGCCTCTGGGGGCCCTTACCGGGCCTCGGAAACGTCAAGAGACGGTTCACGATGAAAAACCCGTCCCAGGGAAACGACGTAACGAAAAAACACGACGTAGGAGGGTTGGAGTCTGGCAGTTGGAAGGGAAGGGAGAAGCGGGGGACAGGGAGGGCTCGGGGGAGGGGAGGCGCCGCACGCGCGATGCACGCCTGCTGTCGCCCGCAGGCAGGCAGGGGAGAGCAAAAGGGGGCAGGCTTCCTCAGAAGAAGGCGGCGAGCGAGGAGGAAGGAAGAGGGAGAAGGCCACCTCAGAAGGCTCGGAAGTCCCCCAGCCTTCTGAGAAGTGTTCTGAGCCTTCCCGAAGACGCAGAAAACCTCTCAGAGGACTGGAGGCCTTTCAAGAAGTCCCGCCGCCTTCTGAGAAGGCGTTCTCCTTCTCAGTTTCCTCCTCGCTCGCCGCCGAAAAGGGGACGACCCAGAACATCCCAACCGAACCCAAAGACCAACATTTCGTGTTGGGGAGGGTACGGGTTTCACATTGCTTTTTCAATGTTCCCCGACGCCCCCCCACTGGGAATGGGTGGGGGCCTTCGGGTTGGCTTGGGGTAGGAGGGAGGAGGAGGGAGGAGGAGGAGGAGGAGGGAGGAGGAGGAGGAGGAGGAGGAGGAGGAGCAGCAGCAGCAGGAGGAGCAGGAGGCGGAGAAAGGAGGAGCAGGAGGCGCAGGAGGAGCAGGAGGAGGTGGGAAGAGGGGGAGGAGGGAGGAGGAGGAGGAGCAGGAGGAGCGGGAGGAGGAGGAGCAGGAGATGGAGCAGGAGATGGAGGAGGAGGAGGAGGGGGAGGGAGGAGGGAGGGAGGGAGGAGGGAGGGAGGGAGGGAGGGGAGGGAGGGAGGGAGGAGGAGGGAGGGGAGGGGAGGGGAGGGGAGGGGAGGGGAGGGGAGGGGAGGGGAGGGGAGGGGAGGGAGGGAGGGAGGAGGAGGAGGGAGGGAGGAGGGGAGGGAGGAGGAGGAGGAGGAGGAGAGGAGGAGGAGGAGGAGGAGGAGGAGGGGGGAGGAGGAGGAGGAGGAGGAGGAGGAGGAGGAGGAGGAGGGAGGAGGAGGAGGAGGGGAGGGGGAGGACCCTGAGGGCACCCTGGGCCAAAGGCACTTCTGGCAGCACCTGGCGTCCTTCCGCGAGGCCTCCGGGCTCTCGGAGCCCGCGGGCGCCCGGCCACCCGCGGGCGCCCGGCCGCCCGCGGGGGAGGCCGGCCAGGCCGCGGGGCAGCCGCTGCCTGCCGGGGAGGCGCCGGGCGTCGGAGGGCCGCCGCGGAGGGCCCTCGCGGAGGGCGCCCTCGCGGAGAGGAGCTCGCGGGGGCCCCTGCGAACATTTCGAGCAGGATATGGACTGCAGGATTGGTGCACCACAGAATCGCAAGGGTTCGCCCAGGAGAAAAAAATGCACATAGAATGCTCCGTAGATCCACGAGCATCCTCCGTGCTTTCCGTGGACCCGGCGAACCCATCAATGTTGGGGTGCTTCAATTATGTAGACGATCTCCTACTCGAAGCCTGGCGTCGCAACTAGCTCGAGTCGGGCGGTTCTGCAGGATTTGGGGCCCCAGGACTCTCACAGATAGATCCCGGCTCGAAAGATGCCGCAGGAAAATCGGGCCCGGGGTTCTGGCAGTGATTCCCCGCTAGGTTGCAGTTTTTGTTGGGGGCGCGGGGCGCCCGGGCGGGCCCGAGGGAACGCACCATTGCAACAATGTATAGGATAATGACGGCGCAGCCTCGCCTCTTCTCGCAAGCGCAATCCCACCAATACTCGTGATGAAGGGAACGCACCATTGCAATAATGTATACGATGACGACGGCAGTTTTTGGCGTCGTCATCGGATGCCAGGGGCTCTTCGGAGAGCCCTCGGAGAGCCCTTCGGAGGCCCTCGGATCTCGAAGGCCCTCGGAGGGGCCCTCGGAGGGGCCTCGGAGGGGCCCTCGCGGGGGCCTTCGCACACCGTGGAGGCTTCCGCTGCCTCTGGGACGGCGCCGGGGGGTCTCGAGGGTCCGAGGGCAGGCGGATGTTTGAAAGAAAAACCATGAACAAATAACCCAAAAATATTTTGGAAAATCGTCCCCATACTTCTTTTGGAAACAATGTTCGAAGCTTCCTTCTGTAGAGGGACACGCCCGACTTACCTCTGGCGTGGTTTGCCCTGTCGCTGCCTCTGGAGGCCTCCGCGGTGAAAGGAGTCGAGAGGGGGTAACTGGCTCAGGGGGGGAACATTGCGGTTGAACTGGCGACCCATCGCCAGGAGCTCGGCGATTGGAGGCCCCCCGCTTCGTGGCAGGCCGGGGCACCGGCGCCTCCATCGGCGAGGAATGGGCGATTGGAGGCGGATGCTTCCCCACTGAGCCAGTCCCCCCCTGTCTGAGCGTTGCGGAAAAAGATACAAACTCATAATGAATAGACACGAACTCTCGGAGGACAGCGCGGATTGCGGCGTGCTCTTCCCACAACTTGTGAAAATCAGGCGCCTGCGGCGGGCTTCTTCAGAACCTTGCAGACTGCCGACGTCCCCGCCGACCCCTCGCTCATATCCGCAACTGCGGGATGCTTTATACGTCCATTCGTCGGTCGATGGTTTCCGCTGCCGAGTTCCGAAATGGTTGCTCTTGCCATCTTTCCGTGACCAGGGAATCCTGTCCGCGAGTTTATGCCGTGTTTGCTCTTTGAGCTTAGACAAGCGCGCGCTCCGCTACTCGCAAAAAAACTACTCACGAATGGCCTGGATCCGCCGAGGGAAATTCGCAATCCATTCGATCGTCGTTCTGGACGCTTGCGAGGAGGCACTTTGCGAGTCGTCGTCGCCGGCGTCGGCGTCGGCGCTGGCGTTGGCGACGGCGTCGGCGTCAGCGCCGTCGTCATCGTGGTCGTGGTCGTGGTCGTGGTCGTGGTCGTGGTCGTGGTCGTGGTCGTGGTCGTGGTCGTGGTCGTGGTCGTGGTCGGCGTCGGCGTCGACGGGGCGGGGCGGTTGCCCGCAGCGCCGCGCACGCTCCGGCCGCCGGGCCCGCCGCCCAGCGCGGCGGCGGCGCCCGCGGCGGGGGCCTGCGGCGCGGTGGCCATGGCGGCGCCCGGCGCGGCGCCGGCGGACGCGCGCGCCGGGGCCGCGCCGGGGCCCTGCGCGGCCGCCGCGGGCCGCGGCGCGGCGCCCGGCGGCGCCTGGGGCGGGCCCGCCGCCGCAACGCATGCTGGCGGGTCCGCGCCGGGCGGGTCGCCAGGCTCCGCGAGCAGGGCGTGCTGAGCGCCGCTTGGGGCCCCCGCCGCGGCAGGCCCTCCGTCAGGACCCGCAGCCGCCGCGTCGGGCTCGGCGCGGGCCTCGGCTCATGGCGCCCAGACTCGTGGTTCCCGTCTGCTCCCATCCTGCTCCTGGCCCTTTTCCTCCCCTCCCCTATTCTTCCTCCTCCTCCGCCTCCTCCTCCTCTTCCTCCTCCTCCTCTTCCTCCTCGTGCTCCTCCTCCTCCTCCTCCTCCTCCAGCTCCTCCTCCTCCTCCTCCTCCTCCTCCTCCTCTTCCTCCCTGGCTTATTCTTACCATTACCAATCGAATTATCATCTTTAGTAGTAGCTTGCTTCACAACTGTTAATATAAATAGTACTGGTTCTGGTTCCGGTTCCGGTTCCGGTTCCAATTCCGGTTATGGTTCCTGTTCTGGT